CTTCCTGCCTACACTGTGGAGTGGGGGTTGGTGGGGGTCTTGCTTACTCCCCTCTCCCCTGCCATGTAGCCCTCAGAGATACAACCAAAGTGCTAGGTGGGATGCCTGCTGGGCCAAGATCCTCAGCCTTCTGCATTGCTTCAGCCAGAGCCCTCGCCCCTCCCCACTGCCCCCTTGGCCTGCTGTTCCTGGAATCGATCGCTGGGGAATCCTAGCCAAAGAGCTTCTCACGCAAAGGCGTGTGAACTTTGACTCAGGAGTAGGTGTTCAGATTCGGGTTAAGGTCCTTTAACCTCCTGCCTGTCTCCCTCCTTCTCTGCTTCATGCTCAGTGAGGCCCCCTTCCTGGTCATTATGGGTTCTTAGCTAAGACAGGGCTCAGTGATGGGAAGTGCAGGCCGCATCTAATCCCAGGGACCCCTCTTTTCTCCAGGGCATGGGTGATTGGTAGGGGGCTGGCCCAGGGGCTGGATCTGTCCATGTTTGACCTCCTGGGGTTTTTTGGGAGTGTGGAAAGTAAACCATGGGGGGTGGAGTGGGGTGGGGCCGGGGGGTGGTGGTGGTGGTGGTTGTGTCGAGCCATGGCCTGGAAGCAGGATGCCAGAATTCTGGGCTTTACTGTGACTTTCCATGTATCCTTCCTCACATTGGTAGCTCAACTGAAAACTAGAAGAGGAGTTGACTTAATGAGCTAATTAATTTATTTGAGGTCAAAAGTCTATTAGGGAATCTGAGCAACGTTCTGCCTCTTCTACCCAGCGAAGGGCTTTCCTGAGATCCAGCACTCCATGGTCTTCAGCCCCAATGCCTTGGCGGCCATGGTTCCTGAGAGCTGACATACTATAGAGACTCTAAGAGTAGGAGAGGGTGGGCTTCAGAGCAAGGTGGGGGATGTGGGAGGGCCTTGCTGCTCCCATGAGGCATTCACACAGGCATACTTCTCTCCCCTCCCCTCCCCTCCCCTCCCCTCCCCTTCCCTCCCCTCTCCTTTCCTCTCTCTGGCTCTAGCTGCAACTGAGGTTGAAGGATAGGCTTCTCTTGGGTGCTATGAGGATCCTCAGACAGTAAGAACTCACCAGCAAGAGCACACTCATCTCCTGTCTCATCTATTGTCTAAATGCTGTCTAAAACACCCCCTTACTGTATCAGCACTTTGGGCTCAACATCATCCTTGTAGTTGTGCTCAATTGCTTTAGAAAAAAACCAAACTCAATGCCATCGAGTTGATTCTGACTCATAGCAGCCCTATAGGACAGGGTAGAACTTCCCCTGTGAGTTTTCTGAGACTGTAACTCTTTTTTAAAAAAAAAATCATTTTATTAGGGGCTCTTACAGCTCTTTATAACATTCCACGCATCAATTGTATCAAGCGTATTTGTACATATGTTGGCCATCATCATTTCCAAAACATTTTCCACTTGAGCCCTTAGTATCAGTTCCTCTTGTTTCCCCTCCCTTCCACTTTCATGAATCCTTGATCAGTTATATACTGTTATTATTTCATAACTCTTCATGGGAGTGGAAAGCCTCACCTTTCTCCCTTGGAGCAGCTGGTGGTTTTGAACTGCTGATCTTGCTGTCAGAAGCCCAATGCATAAGCATGACGCCACCAGAGGTCCTCTCAACTCCTTTACCGATTGTTAATATCACCAGTGTGAGGACCTGGTTCATGACAGCCATTTCCCACAGGCTGGTTCTCTGTGTTGGGACTTGCAGGAAGGAGTGGCAGGTTGGGGTCAGATGTGCTGAGAACTGAGGAGTGCTGAAGATAGATATACATCAGGAGAAACGTGAGCTGTTGCTGGGGAAGCCCAGGCAGGTTTCCAGGAGGAGGTGATATTTTAGCTGAGGATTAAAGTAAGGACTTCGAAGCAGTTATGGGCAGGCCTGATAACCCCAAAGAGTTATGGAGGCAAAGTGCTTATGCATTGGGCTGCTAACTACAAGGTCAGCAGTTCAAAATCACCAGCTGCTCCATGGGAGAAAGACGGCATTTTGTATTTCTGTAGAGAGTTAGTTTCTGAAACCCACAGGGGCAGTTCTGCCCAGTCCTATAGGGTCTTTAGGAGTGGGCATCAACTCAATGGCAGTAAGTTTGGTATTTTTGAGTGTGATACTTCAAACCAAAGTCAGACCCATTGCTATTGAGTTGATTCCAACACATAGTGACCCTACAGTACAGAGCAGAATGGCTCCATGGGGCGTCTATATAGGTACAGACAACCTCATCTTTCTTCTGACAAGCTGCTGGTAGGCTTGAACCTCTGACCTTCTGGCTAGCAGGCCAAATTTAACTTACTGTGTCCCTAGAGGTCCCCAGGGCAGACCTAATCCTCAAGCCCCAAACAAAATCAAAGAAACTAAAAAACCCAACCCACTGCCTTCCAGTGAATTCTGACTCATGGGGCCCTTTCATCAGTTCTCTGAAGCTGTGAATCTTTACAGGCACAGCCAGGCTTATCTTTCTCCCGTGGTGGGTTTGAACTGCCCACCTTTCGATGAGCAGCCCACCACTCCTTTGTCAGTGCCACCAGGACTCCTTGACATACCTGATAGGAGTCTCGCGGCTCAAGAGTCTGGTTTCTATCCTCAGAGCGAAAGGCTCTAAGGCATGGTGCCAGGACATTGAGTATGTGCATTGTCAGAAGACCATCCTGGGTGTCCATGGAATTAGAGTCGGAGCCGGGCATAAGACCCGAGGGGGACCCCTCTAGGTGGCTGTTAGGTATTCTAGGGAGCAATGGTGGGGGCCTGGACTAGGGTGTGGCAGTGCGGGGTACGGTTGGAGACATCATGAATCCTTGTCCCATCAATCGGAAGCGTGGTAGCCAAGCTGATCTTGCTCCTCGGAGTCCACCCATGTCTCCTGTCTCCATGTGACAAGAAGCACTCCCCTGTTTCTCAGTGGGGATGCTCCTGGCTGTCCCCAGGGCACCCTCCTCCCCACTACATGCCACTCTTCCCAGTCTCCAGGGAACAATGCTGCTGCCCACTTTTACAGCCCCCTGACCTCCACATTGCTCCTTCTCCCAGGGACCACCATGCGGGGGGCCTTTGAATGTGCTGATTCCCTCTTGCCAAGGGTGCTCTTCCGGGAGGAGCTTGCAGGGTCGCAGCCCCACTTCTCTGAGTCTGCTCAGGATCACCCTCTGGGGAGGCCATCTGGGGTCACTCTCTTTCCAAACTGCTCCCCAGCCATTGCTGCCCCGTAGGGTAGCCTCCTTTTTACTCCACAAAACCTTTCACTGTCGTTGGTCTCATCTATCCCCTGCCCCATCCCCAGAACGTCAGAGCCTACTCCGTTTCGTTCGCGCCACGGGTACTTCCAGCCCGGGGAACAGGACTTGGCGCACCGTAGGCCCCTGGTAGATGTTTATGCATGGCGTGAGGTGACCTCTGAGACTTTGTTTTCCGCTGGAGCCACCGGCTGGGACAGGGGTTGTTGTCGTCTCCTCGGGGACAGGTGGAGCTATCACGAAATAGCTGGCACACTCGGGCGGGGGACGGCGTGCAAGGCAGCCAGCCAGGCGAGCTGGGCGGCGCTGGGGCTGCGTGTCCTGCCACAGGCGTGGACCCAAAAAATGCAGGCACACGCAGGCGTCCGCACGCAAGCGGGCCCTTTGCTCTGCCCGCTCCTCCTGCCCGGGAGCGCGCTCCCGGCCTCCGCCCGCCCCCGGCTCCCTCCTCCCCGTCGCGTGAC